GGTGCTGGGGGATTGAACCGCGGTCCCTGATGCTTTTGCTAAGCTTGTTCTAAGTAGGTGCTTTAGACCACTGAGCCATCTCTCCAGCCCCTAAGTGGTTGCCACTTAAAGTTACACTCATAAGTGAAATAAACCAGACCCGCATGTATAAATATTGTATAGTCTCCTTAGTGTATGAACTCAAAAGAAGAAATAAAAAGAGAAAGGTATAACACAATTAAAAGGAAAGTGAGAATTTAAGGATTAAACAATGAAGAGAGGGTAAGGAGAAAAGCTAGGAAACATGACAGCGGCAAAACCATACATTTATAAGTACAAGATGGGGCCAGGGAGATGGCTCAGTAGAACAAGTGCTTGCCTAGCAAGTGCAAGGGCCTGAGTTCAATCCCTGGTTCTGAAAACAAAACAAAACAAAACACAAGATGGTTAAGGCAATGATCCTGAGAATCTTCAGCAGGTTTTTGAAACTAGCAGTTAATTGGTAGGATTCTCACCCTGAGAAACTATATATGCTGATTCCTGTGAACTAAGTAACTGCACTGAATAGTAATGTGTAATGGTAGGGTCATGCTTGGAATGCCCATCATTCGGGTCTTCTAAATATGTATTGCTTGTCAGGTCATATCAATTATTGCTATACTGTCTCTCAGGTAAATGTTCGTTTAAAAAAATAGTAATAAATGAAAACAAGAGACAAGAAACAAAAATGTCATAGGACTGCCCTGCTACAATGCTGTATATGGTTAGATTTCTAAATTTCTGTGTAAAAATACGTAATTGTTTATTCCAATTTTTAAAAAACTATTTATTTTTTTCTTCACATTCTGTAGGGATTTAAAGTTTAACATATCAATACTTGATTGAAAATACCTGTTCCATGCTCTGTCTAAGATGTTTGCTATTCAGACAGTCAGTGAGGTTAAGCTCAACTGCCTGGGTTATAGGGTAATAATAATCATTAAGCTTCTCTTCTGGAGGGTTAACAACTTAAATTTGCAGACCAAAAACTAGAGAATAAGAAGGGCTACAAGAACAGCCAACATTTTGGCTCTAGCCTTCCAAGGTCAGTGAAGACTCAGGACATAGGAGAACCTGTATTGTAACATCATGTAACTCAGTGATGTCCCAGATTTTCTGATCAAGGAGATTATGGGCCCACAGAGGAAAGTGATTGACGAGGTAGAGTGTACCTAAGGAGAGTCATATGGAGAGAAAACATTCTCTCAGACTTTCACAGAGAGCAAATGGGTCAGGCAATGGCCGTGACTCATCCATATGGCTGACACTGACAAAGGATCTACAAACTGTGGTACAGGGTTTCAGGGTAAATCCTGAGGGGATTTGATTGACCTTATCAGATACAAAAGTTACATTTCTTGTTATATAGGTCTTGCTTTATCTTGGTCTTAACCATCCAGCAGAAAAGTATAATAACAAGGTATGAAAAGTAAAGCCATATTAATATGCTGAGCTGTAAAAGGCTCAAGTCAACAACTTCTGACATTACCAGTCCTATGGATAACCCACTGCTATTATGAACTACTGGACTGTATTGGATTATTTTGCTGAAATCACATCATCTACAATATTTAAATATGGCAATGGAATACCCATCTCTGACAAAACTAAAGTAAAATAGGGGATACAAATGAAGGACCATTTTCTATCTGTATATACAAAACAGGATAGATATACAGCTACTTCCTCTTAATTCAATGAGAAGAAGGATTTGTACTAGTAGTGTTTGGACAGGCTATCATGTCTGCATCTTGTACTATGAGTAACCACTATGAAAACAACAATATGCAATATATTAACTATGGAAACTGTCCTATCCATGAGTTTTAAAGCTGTCTCATTGCTATTTGTTTCTCAATCAAATTAAAAATAAGAACTGAAAAAATTTATGAAATTCAATCAGTACTCCAAAATGTTCTGAAGGACATTCTAGGAAAAGTAATGAGGACTTCAACTCCATGAGCAGAACTGAAGATGCAGAAACAGCTCCAGACGCACTCAGCTATCTTATCTTTGGGCCAAACACCTTCACTGGAAGCAAGATGGCTCCTTTCGTAAATCACCCTGGAAACCAGCTTCCCACAGGCCACAGATTAAACCTCTGGGACTGGGAGACGGCTTAGTGCAATAAGCCCTTGCCTGGGAAGTGCAAGGGCCTGAGTTCAATCCCCAGTTGCGCCAAAAAAAACCAGAACCAAAACAAAACAAAACAAAAAACGATTAAACCTAGACCCATATCTCTCACCAAGCTGTGAAATAAAATTGAAATGAATCAAGGTCTACATATTAAAACAGAAGCGCTAAGTCTGCTGGAACATAGAATTGGTAGAATTCTTGAAGACCTTGGTGTAGGCAAAGACTTCATGAAAAACATTCCAGTTGCGCAGAAGCTACCATAAAAAAATCAACAAGTGAGATCACATCTTATTAAAAGGCCTTTGCACAGCAAGAGAAATCACCAACAGAGTAAAAAGAGAACTCACAACATGGGAAAGAAAATTGCCAGCTGCTCCTCAGACAAAAGATTATTATCTACAATGTATAAAGAACTCAAAAAAAAAAAAAAAAGAGCCTCCAAATTTAAAGGCCTAACCCAAAAGTGCCGGTCTGAGATGAATACATACTTCTCAGATGGAGTACAAACAACAAATAAATATTTTTTTTAAATGTTCAACATCATTGGTCATTTGAGAAATGCAAATTAAAACACCGAGATTTCCTCTCACTGCAGAAAGAATGGCTATTACCAATAAATCAACCAAGGGCTGGGGAGATGACTCAGAGGGCTAAGCGCCTTCCAGGGAAGCTCAAGGACCCGTGCGATCCCCAGTCTCATATGCTGTGCCATTGAGCAGCCACTGAAACCGGGCGTGGAGGTGCATGCCTGTAATCCCAGTGCTGGGAAGGCTGAGGCAGGAGGATCACTATGAGTCCAAGCTGTGTAGTGAGGCCTTTTACCAAATAAGTAAGTAAGTAAGTAAGTAAATAAATAAAATATTTAAAAAAAATAAAAAGAGTAATCAACCAATAATAAATGCTGGCAGAGCTGTAGGGATAAAGGAACCCTTCTCCACTGTTGGTGGAAGTGTAGAGTGGCACAACTGCTGTGGAAATCAGCGTGAAGATTCCTTATATATATGGGTTTAGAGGACCCACTTGAGCCAGCTATTCCCCTTCTGAGTATCTTCCCAGAAGAACTGAAAACATCATTTCACAGCAATATATGTGCACCTATATTTATAGGAGCAGAATTTGTAATAGCTAAATCTTGGAAACAACCCAGTTGCCCATCATGAGGAATAGGTCAGAAAGATGTGGTGTTTTAAATATATAATAGAGTACTGCTCAGCCATAAAGAAGGGTGGGTTTGAGACATTTATAACCACATGGGTACGCCGTGAGGCCACACTACCGAGTGAGGTAGGTCAGACACACATGTTCAAACATTTCGCTGTTTCCCTGGTTTGAGAAATAAAAAATGTAAATGAAGACCAAAATATATTCTAGGTACTGGGCAACGGGAAGCAAATGCTCCCATGAGAAGGGAACAGAAGAGGTGGAGGGGAAAGAAAAGGAGAGACAAGGAAAAGAGTAGAAGGGAAAATAGAAACCACGCTTTTGTAAATAAAGAGGGAAAGTGTTCAAGTGTGGGAAGGGGAGTGGGAAAAAAAGAAGTAAGTCGTATCCCGTACAGGTACAAATCCCTGTGATAAATGTGGTTACTATATGTATCTCAAATGTACCAATAAAAAACCGCCAGCAAATGTAGCTTATTGAAAAAAGATGATTATATCCTCGGTACCAAAAAAAAAAAAAAAAAAAAAAGATACCTATAAAGCAGAAACAACAAGACAAACATTTCGGCCCTGGAGGATCATCTTGCCGCCCTTGCTCTCCCGCGCGCTCACCCTGGGGGTAGATGAGGGTCAGCGGCGTCCGGGCCGAGGACTCTCTGAACACCTCCTTCAGATTAACTCCGCCTCGGTGAAGATACGCACTTCCCATTTTTTCAGTTATGAAATTTCTCACTGATTTGTTTAAACTTTCCGGTCTAAGAATTTTTATCTGAAAAGAAAACAGGGGGCTGGTGAGATGGCTCAGTGGTCTAAAGCACCTACTTAGAACAAGCTAATCTAAGCAAAGCACA